CAGAGTTACTAAAGTGAGGATTCTCACTGAGATGCACGCGGTGAATATTTAAGGCACCGCAGACAGAGCAGAGCAGCGTGCCTGGGTGTGGAGGAGGTAAATAAAGAGACGCACATGTGGATGGAAGAGCACACATTCCACAGGTTTTTCCAATAGAGACTTCAAGTAGGTTGAGATCACTGGGCTCTGTGACATCAGTGAGGACTAATAATACTGTCGAGAATCTGGGCCTCATGTCCTTTATCATACGTTACAGTAGGAGCCAGCCCTGGTTTTAGGAAGGTAGGAAGGTTTTCTAAAAATGAAAAAAAAAAACATTTGTATCTATATATCTAACACCTTCATTTACTGGGTATAAAAAGCAGAAGAAAAGGGGGCGGGGGTTCAAGCGTCCTTCTGGCAGTACCAAAGAACTGCTGTTACTTTTGTTTGGTGAACTGCAAAGAACTGCTGTTACTTTTGTTTGGTTCTGATATGTACTGTATCAACCAGACCTTTGTAATAAAGGAGACACATGTGGACAGCAGGCAGGCCGGTGGAGCACTCACATACTGTACTGTATATGAAGTCACTACTCTGTGTAGAACAAGGTCAGGGAATGTCCAGCTGAAAACTCCATGGACTTCCTAGTAAAAAACAAAACTATAATTTTGACAGAAGTATCACAGATTTTTTAACTGAATTAATCAATGGCTTCATCTCCGAGACAGAGCACACGATTAAAACAATGCTACAGCATGTAATTTGTATTTTAGGAAATTGCACCAACTGCTCTGGAAATGGATGGAAAAAAAAGTTACCACAGCAGCAAGTTCATTTTTTTCTGCTGTCAAAGGTGGCACTGTTGTGCAGTTGTTTTTTCCACCATTTTCATCTAATTACAAACTGACCTTGAATCAAAAACTGTTTTGGATCAAAATACAATAAATACAATGAACAGAGTAACAGGAAGGATCAAAATCATAAATACAATGAACAGAGTAACAGGAAAAACAATTAAAACAAAATGACATCATAAAAACCAGTGACACTGACATCATGGTCAGACTGGTTTATGTCTCTCACGGTAGAATCATGATTTAATGCTGCGTCTAAGTATCAGTGGATTTAGCAGGTGTGCAACTCAGGTACTTAAGTGTAAGGCCCTTAATCAGGAGATGCACTTCCACACTGACTTAACAATTGGAGTTGTATTTGATGAGAAAATAATGGGTCATTTAGAGATTAAATAATTACAACGTCTCGTATAGGAAGACAATTTCCTGCTCAAGCACTTCCTAATCCCATTGGTTATGGATTTTCATTACCCTTAATGATGGCTGTGAAGAGTGTATTTAGCCACTGAGGGAGTGCAATTGCTCTTTGTCTCTTTTCCCGGGGCGGACACCTAACATATTTATCTGTAATCCTGTCTCCACGGCGTAGCTGTGACCAATGCGTGGCCTGTTGCTGCTCCCCTGAAACAGTCACCTCAGCGGCAGCAGCACAATCAGACCTAATGTGATTTCTACAGCCGCCGCAGCACATGTCTGATGATTGGACTGACGAATCTAACTGCAGGTCTGCAGCTCAGCACACACGACTGGAGTCTGCACTGAAGAGTCAACGCAGCCGTGAGCGATGTCCTTTAATATTGGTATTAAAACAATTTCCGGAGGCCGTGTTGATTACAAATCAACAAATGAGGGCGGCTGAATGGGTAAGACAATTGAACAGCAGGATTAAATGAAGTCAATGAGTGACATTAGTTTATGTTGTGCCGCAATTTAGGCTCGAGGCACCGAGTGTGGCATTTAGAGACATCTAGTGGCTGGATCTCTATCACTGCTACTTCCCAAGCATTGTTTACCAAAGACTGGGTCGTGACACTCAAGTGGGTCGCAAGTATATGAACATATGCATTCTATCTCTTCCAATTACAAAACAATAGGAAAAAGTATATCTGACACTGACACAGTCTGCGACTTGTTACTTCTGTGTGACGTTCGAGCGCTTTCAAAAAATTGACTGGTAAACATTGGTTTGCAGCCCACAGATGGCTCGCAGTAGACGTTTGGTCCGGTCAACATGTAAAATATACTGATTTTACTTTTAAATCTAACAAAAGTTTTCTTACAAAAATCAACCTTGTTAAAAGAAATATTTCTTGAAAAATTGCAGTTTTCAAATATAAGATAGAAATAGCAGTAAAAATCATCTGAAGAAACAAAGCCATTAAAAGTGGTAAAATTTTACCTCTGGGATAATGATTACAAAAAGAGAATTTTACATCACACAAGTGGGTAACAAAGCAGATAAGGGTCGATAATGGAAGCATTGGTTTAACGCAGTAAGAAAAATACTTTTGTGGGAGCATTTATCAAAAAGCATTTTGCAAAACCTCGTTTTTTGGTCCAATAGTCCTGATTTATTTTTCAGATTGTGTTGTCATTACACATCATATTCAAAACTATTTCCTTTTATTTCTTTTTCGATTGTCCTTGTAAGAAAAAAAAAAAGAAAACAACTTCAAAAGCAAAATTAAAAAAAACTTTTTCTTTTGGTCTTTCTACGTACAAGACCTTGTCTGACGTGTGTTCAAATGTGCTGAAAATATTTGGCAGCTGTTCAGACTTTTTTTTTTTAATTGAGTTTCAATGTTGGAAAGGCTTTTCTAGTAGTCATTAGCAGCTGATTTAACGGCCACAGTCAAAAATCAAATGCAGTGTTCCATCATTTTTCCTCGGCAGCGAAATTGAATTTCAAATTTGGATTGGAAACCCTTTTGAA